TGGCTCTCCTGTACAAGCAATTGGAGTGGCTACTAGCTCTAGATTTTTACTTTTCAGCACTTTAAGCAATTTTTTTTAACACAAGTTCGTTCTTTATAATGATTGTGTTACATATGTTTTTTATTATTTTATATTTTACAACACTGTAATTTTATAGCGCTGCACTACTGTTTACTCTGTTTGTGTGTACCATGTGTTAGGATATCGTGTCAGCTGCTACTTATCGTTTTACACACTGGAACCCTAGTTTTTACCTTAAGATTCAATGAGAAGAAGCTGTGGGCATCGGTCTAACAACTTGTAGGGAGCCTGCAGGAGTGGTGTGGGATCACAGCAGGAGGTGAACAGAAAGGGAAGCAAAGCAGCATGTGGAGGAACCAATCTCCTCCATTTTCCTCCTCCTACAGCTGTTGAAAGGCTACAGGAGGAAAATGGAGGGCATCAGTTCCTCTATATGCAGCACCCGCCGCCTCTCCTATCCAGGTGTACAGGGGAACGACATGTGTCCCTGGCAGCATGCGGCCGAGTCCCAATTACAACCTCTGCGACCCCTAGGCATATGCACCTGGCACTTTATATTTGTTACATGCATGCATTTATATACCATAACTAAAATATTTAACCAATTGACCTCCAGAGGATTTACCCCCCTTAATGACCAGGCCTCTTTTTGCTACTCGGCGCTGCACTAATTCAACTGATAATTGTGCGGTCATGCAATGCTGCACCCAAACGAAGTTTACGTCCTTTTTTTCACACAAATAGAGCTTTCTTTTGGTGTAATTTGATCACCTGTGCACTTTTTATTTTTCACGCTATAAACAAAAAAATGCCATTTTGAAGAAAAACAATATTTTTTTACTTTCAGCTATAAAAAATATATAGTAAACTCAAAGTTGGTTATAAATTTAGGCCAAAATATATTCTGCTCCATGTTTTTGGTAAAAAAAATCCCAATAAGTGTATATTGATTGTGTGGAAGTTATAGCGTCTACAAACTATGGTATAAATACTGCAATTTACGCCATTTTTCTGCTACACAGCGCTGCGCTAGTTTAACGGACAATTGCGCGGTCATACGCATTGCGCAATATGGTACATAAATGAAATGTACATCCTTTTTTTCCCCACAAATTGAGCTTTCTTTTGGTGGTATTTGATTGCCTGTGCGGTTTTTATTTTTAAAAAAAAAAGGCTGACAATTTTGAGGAAAAAAAAACAATATTTTGGACTTTTTGCTATAAAACATGTCCAGTAAAAAAAAATGCAAAAATCAAATTTAGTCATAAATTTCTGCCAAAATGCATTCTGCGACATGTCTTTGCTAAAAAAAAAAAAACAATACGTGTAAATTAATTGGTTTACGTGAAAGTTATAGCGTTTGCAAATGGTGGGAAAGATACTGGGATTTTTAAGGGTTTTTTTATACTAATAATGGCGGCAATCAGCGAATTATGGCGGCAATCAGGGACTTATGGCAGCGACCAGCGACTTATGGCGGGACTGCGGCGGACATTTTGACATTGGGGGGTACTGACTTGGGGTCACTGACATCCCCAAAAACACTAATACAGTGATCAGTGCAAAAAAAAAACACTGACACTGTACTAATGGCACTGGGGAGGAAGGCGTTAACTTTATTTTGCAGGGAAGGGTTATCTGTGTGAGGGGGAATGTTTTACTAGGGGGCGGGGGGTGTGCTGGACGGGACAAGGCTGATCGAGAGAGAGAAACTCTTCTTTCTCGATCAGCTCGTCCTCGAGCTGTCAGGGAAGTGACAGACAGCACAGCTACTGCAGCTGTGCTATCTGTCACTGTAAAGACCGGCTGTGACCCGGCGACTGACATCCGCAGCGGTGATCGGTGGGACAGATAGGGCAGCGGCGCGCCTATCTGTTTACAAAACACGCGTTTTAAAACGTTGCTTTGCCTGCCAGTGCCGCCCTGCCGCCGTATTTCTACAGTTGCAGGGCGGTAAGTGGTTAAAAAATGCCAGTTACATTTTTTTAAGTGCTTTTTACTTGCTTAAAAATCCTGACATGCTCTCCCTGCTTTGTAATGCTTAGAAAGGGATTGTGGATTTTACCTTTCATGATCAGGCCATTTCTTGTTATTTATCACTGTGGTATTTTAACTGGTAATTGCGCGGTCATGAAATGTTGCGCACAAATGAAATTTATGTAATTTTTTTTTCCCACAAATAGAGCTTTTTTATGGTGGTATTTGATCACCACTGTTTTTTTTATATTTATTATATAAATGAAAATACCCGAAACTTTTGAAAAAAGCCAACATTTTTTACTTTCTGTTACAAAATATATCCAATAAAAGAATAAAAAAAATCGAATTTCTTCATACGTTTAGGCCAAAATGTATTCTGTTACATGTCTTTGGTAAAAAATTCCCAATAACTGTATATTGATTGGTTTGTGTGAACATATAGTAGTGTTGAGTATAGCATCTACAAACTGAGGTTTATATACTGAAATTTGTATTTTTTTTTTTTAATACTAGTAATGGTGGTGATCAGCAACTTATAGTTGAACTATGATAGTGCAGCAGGGATTCTGACACTAACTGACACTGGGTGGAAGGTAGACAAACTGACTAACTGACACCATCAGTGACACTAATACAGTGTCACGAACTCTCTAACGGTATCTCTATGAGTCCACAGTCTGGGATTCCCCAGGGCGTGGGGTCTAAGCCCCAGTCTGCTTGTTCACTAGAGCCCCTGATGGTGGGGATGGACTTGGAGCAGGCTAAGACCAGGACGCAGCCCCGGGTACACCCAACTGTGGTAGAGAAGACCGCTAGTGGAACGTAGCTTGGTAAGAGCCTGATGTGAAGAGGCAGGGAAGACCTGAACGGTAAACGGATAGATCCGTGCAGGATGGATGGATGCAGACACACCGTGAAGCAAGTAGCGGAGTCAGACAGGCCGGGTTAGTAACCATGGAGGCAGAATGGAATCAGAGCAGCAGGCAAAGGATAGTCGGGTCACAGGCCAAGTTCAGCAACAGTAGGTCAAAAGATCAGGAGCAGGCAGTAGAATATCCAGAGACAAGCCAGGGGTCAGGGCAGAAGAAGGTCACGATAGTCAGGAGCAGGCTGGGTTCGGCAACAGGAAACAACTCAGGATCAGGAATCACAGGCAGAGGAATATGACCATACGGCAATTTGGATCCTGCAGTGGCCCATTTAAATAGCCCGCCCGGTGCTGACAGGCGCGCCTGGGTCCTAGTGCCTGCTTGCGCCGTCATTGGTAACAGGCGTGCCTGGGTCCTAGTGCCCGCCTGCCTGTATGCCTTGTTGGGATCCTGTGCATGCGCAGATTCATGCGCTGCGGCGATCTTCTCATTCCCTGACATACAGTGATCAGTGATGATACCATACATTATCACCGTACTAATGATACGGGTGTATATTAATTGGTTTGTTTGAAAGTTATAGTGTCTACAAACTGTGGGCAGGGGCAGACTGACAACTCCCCGGGCAATAGGAAATCATGGGGCCCCTTGCCTAAACTCAAAAAAGCCTATGAAAAAGGTACCAGGGGAATCTCATGGAGCCCCCTACTGACGCCGGGCCCTCGGGCAGTGCCCGAGTTTCCAAATGGTCAGTCCGCCTCTGACTGTGGGATATATATTGGAATTTTTTCATATTAGTAATGGCAGCAATCATGACTTATAGTGGGACTGTAATAGTGTGGCTGTCAATGTGACACTAAGGGCTCGTTCACACTAGGCTGTTTTGCCAACGCTTGCCAAACGCCCCTATAGCTTTTGGCAAGCGTTGGTCCGGCGTTTGCGGAGCGTTATTAACGCTCGGCAAACGCTCCGCAAACGCCGCATGCTCGGTTTAGCGGCGGTTGCTAGGCATTTGCCGAGCGTTAATAACGCCCCACAAACGCCTATAATGCAGTTTGAGTGGTGTTACTGCTCCGCAAACGCCCCGCAACCGCGTCGCAACCGCACCGCAAACGCCGGCCGGGCGTTTGCGGAGCGGCACCATAGACGAGAATAGGAGGCTTCAAAGCCTCCTGACTCGTCCAGAGGCGTCCGTTTTGCCGCGACGCAACGCGACGCAACGCAAACGCTCCCGTTAGAACAGCACCATGTGCTGTAATGTGCAGAATTAGCAGAGGCGTTTGGGAAGCGGTAAAAACGCTTACCAAACGCCTCTCTGCCACATGCACACAAGGCTAGTGTGAACGTAGCCTAACTGACACTTTGTGGGAACTGGCTAAATGACACTGACATCACCAGTGCAACTAATACAATGATCAGTGATAATACACTATATTGTCACTGTACTAATGACACTGGCTGGGAAGGGGTTATCATTTAGGGGCAATCAAAGAGTAAACTGTGTGCCTAACAATGTTTATTGTATTTACTGTGGTGCTTTTACTAAGCAATGTGCCAGTTTTTACTCCCTGCAAAGAAAAAAATGTCCATCTGTAGCGAGCTCTGTGTTATTTAACAACAAAAAGCTCTCTTTTGTTATTTGCTCCATCGATTTGTGGTCCCAGCCATAAATCATTGACCAGGACCTGATGACTGGCTTGTACTGTAGCAAATGACAGCACCATGCAGGGGCCATGCACCCCCTACCAGGAAATGCTGGATCACGCACTGTCAACCTTTATGTACAGTGTGCGGTCTGCAACTGGTTAACATAATTAACCCTGTCTGTACTGTGTTTTAAGTTCTTCATTATCAGCTATAAACTATTTTTGAACACCGTCCTAACACAAGTGGTTAAATCTTTAGAAACCGCCAGACTGCATTATATGTAATGAGGTCTGTGTCCAAACAGAGCCACTGTGAAACTCTCCAGAAATGTTTAGAATCAACCATGACACCTTCTCCTTAGAAACATCTAAAAGGTAAGATATATATATATATATATATATATATATATATATATATATATATATATATATACTGTATATTAGGCATGCTGTGTGAATGGGAATGTAGCTCTACCCCCCGAAGGAACCATTTGGTAATCTTGGATTCTCTGTTCTGCACCTCAACTCCAAGAACAATCTCTGCTCCTCTGACACACCTGGTTGAATGAATGTCACTGTAGCACAGGGGCGGACTGACAGCTCATGGGGCCCCCGGGCAGTAGGGGATCATGGGGCCCCGGTGTCCTTGCCCAAACTCAAAAAAGCCTATGAAAAAGGTACCAGGGGCATCTCATGGGGCCCCCTACTGACCCCGGGCCCTCGGGCAGTGCCCGAGTTTCCAAATGGTCAGTCCGCCCCTGATGTAGCACATATAGAGACTCAAGTATAAATACTTTTTTCCTGGCTGTGAATTCTTATCAGAAAATAGACGTACACCCGCTTAGTGCTAAATGTACTTCTTATATTGATTTGGGTTCAGAATAACTGGCAGTAGTATATAATTGAGCAGACAGTGGGTAAATCTGAATGCAGTCTGATAGACAGAGTAATTACTATGACAAAGTGACTCAGATCAGGTTGTGTACCACTAACTGAACACAATACAAATGTTAGCAAATCAGCAATAAACAATGTAAATACACGTTAAAATACAGTACGAGTTATAGTGATACTATTCTGGTTTAGAGTGCACTTTAAGGGATTGACAGGAGTATGGTGCAGCTTCTCCTAAGAGGCACCAATTGTAGGGTAGTTGGATTTACTGACAAGGGTCCAACTACCCCATATGGTGGGCAGGGCCTATTGCACCCGTGCACTGAGGGGGTACCTTTGCCAGAGGCTTTCCCCCAAATGCCGGGAACCAGGCGGGAACTGCAGTCTTCTGAACAGTCTAACATTAAAGCAGTCTCCCAACTTAGAGATGAGCTGACACTGCATATAGCAATAAAGCGGAGTTTCCCTGTTCGGCAAGAAACAAAAACAAAAGTCCAACATAAGCTTTCCCATACAGGGGTTCTTCTCCAGCCGTAAATACAAATGAAAAATACCAAGCCTCCTGGCTACTGCTCATCAGATTTCAATGGAGAAAAATATAATGCTGGATCTCTATACTGATATGGGCTGGGTAACGTGTTAGGAACGTAAGGATGCCCCATCGTTTAATGGAAATGAAAATTATCGACCTACAGAGGACTGAATTCAAAGACACCCCAAAAACCAAACTGAAAAAAATGATGCAGCAGGCTAGTCCATTTTGCTGAAATTTCATTGTAGCAACTCAAAATGGTACTCAGTTTGCATGGCCCTCATGTGCTTGTATGCATGCCTGACAACACTGGGGCATGCTCCTAATGAGAGGATGGATGGTGTCCTGGGGTATTTCCTCCCAGATCTGGACCAGGGCATGGCTGAGCTCCTGGACAGTCTGAGGTGCAACCTGGCTGCGTTGGATGGACTGAAACATGATATCCCAGAGGTGTTGTATTGGATTTAGGTCAGGCAAGCGTGGGGGCCATTCAATGGTATCAATTTCTTAGTTCTCCAGGAACTGCCTGCATACTCTCGCCACATGAGGCTGGGCATTGTTGTGCACCAGGAGGAACCCAGGACCCACTGCACCAGTGTAGAGTCCAAGGATTTCATCCCGATACCTAATGGCAGACTGGGTTCCATTGTCTAGCAGAGATAGAGGTCTGTGCGTCCCTCCATGGATATGCCTCCCCAGACCATCACTGACTTACCAGTAAAATGGTCATTCTGAACAATGTTACAGGCACTATAACATTCTCCACGGCCTCTCCAGATCCTTTCACATCTGTCTCATGTGCTCAGAATGAACCTGCTCTCATCTGTGAAAAGCACAGGGTGCCAGTGGCAGACCTGCCAATTCTGGTGTTCAATGGCAAATGCCAATTGAGCTCTATGGTGCCGGGCAGTGAGCACAGGGCCCACTAGAGGATGTCGGGCGCTCAGGCCACCCTCATGAAGTCTGTTTTTGATTGTTTGGTCAGAGACATTCACACCAGTGGCCTGCTGGAGGTCATTTTGTAGGGCTCTGGCAGTGCTCATCCTGTTCCTCCTTGCACAAAGGAGAAGATACCGGTCCTGCTGATGGGTTAAGGACCTTCTACGGACCTGTCCAGCTCTTCTAGAGTAACTGCCTGTCTTCTGGAATCTCCTCCATGCTCTTGTGACTGTGCTGGGAGACACAGCAAACCTTCTAGCATAGGCACATATTGATGTGTCATCCTGGAGGAGTTGGACTGCCTGAGCAAACCTCTGTAGGGTCCAGGTATCGGCTCATGCGACCAGTACTGACACTGACCCTAGCCAAATGCAAAACTAGGGAAAAACAGTCAGAAAAGATAAGTAGGGAAAAAAATGTCAGTGGCCTCCACCTGTAAAACCATTCCTGTTTTGGGGGGTCATCTCATCATTGCCCATCTAGTGCAATTATTAATTTCATTAACACCAAAGCAGCTGAAACTGATTAACAATCCTATCTGTTACTTAACTGACCAGATGACTATCCCAGGAGTTTCATTGACTTGATGATTAAGTGTTCCTTAATTTTTTTTGAGCAGTGTAGATGGCCCAGGAATACCTTTTAAGTGACAGTCAACTGTGACAATCCATAGATGTTAACATAATCCATAAATGGTGGCATCTCAGGGTTCTCGGTATAGAAGGAAGACGAGTTGGTCTCTCCTAGTTTTGGAATGTACCAGCAGCAGTATGACAGCACACCAGAATGGTCAGGGCCTGTCAGAGGGGCTCCTGGACATTAGTCTTCCCCCAATTTATAACACAGGTGGACTGGCTCAAGCCTCAAAAAGCAGTGAGCTTAACCTTCTCAACCCAGCCTGGGCAAGTACCTGACTTACTAAGCAGTTCCCAACCTGCTTACTCTATTAACTAAGCAAAGGGGCAAAACTTCTCTGAGTAGCAACTATTAATGGGTAGACTTTAGTCCTGAATCTTCAGCTGGCTAAATGTTGGAGTGCAGTAATCGCTGGCACATTTTAAGCCAGTCAAAAAGCCTGCAGGCAGTACTATAGCAATAGCTCCTGGCTACACAAACATATTTCTCATATTTGACTGCAAAAGTAAAAATACCAGTTACATTTTATTCCCATTCTGTTCTGCCCCACTTTCATGTAATTTCTTTATATTGTATTGAACTGCATTGTGTTATCATTTTTCTGTAGTATGCTGCCATGTAGAGGTGGTTTTTAGGTATAGGCAGATTATTTACTAATATGATTTTGATATCATCATCTGTCTTCCCCTCCTGTTTAGTGCTAGTTAGTTTAGACCTAGCTAGACCCTCCCCATTTCTTCAATATTTCCTCAGTCAGTGTTAGTTATTCACAGAGACAGGGCTCAGGAAAGTCATTGTCCCTTTACACTTCAAAAGACTGTATAGCAATTAGCAGAAGTGGGATTGTATTGGATTCAATTTATGTATCTTATTGAAGAGTTAAGAGCGGTCTGGATAAAAGCGCACAGATGTGTCCCAAAGGAAATAAGTGAATGGTATATGTCAACTATTATTGGTGGGGAAAAAACTCACTGCTGCCATGGTAAAAACACATCGGTTTGTGGGAGGTATGAACAGGAGCCAGGCGCTGTGTAGTTTTGTGATAAAAATAATACACCTTGTATGGAGGTGTGCCTTTAATAAGTCATATGGTAAAAAAATAATAAATAACCAGCCTGTGGCTTTAGGAAGCCAGGTTCCAAGATGGACGGCCCGTCCGCTCAGAGGGAAGCAGTGGAGTAGAATGCCTGTCAGTGCAGGGACCACGTGTACCCGACGTCCCAGCGTCCTGGATGACGTCACCATGATGTGGAGAGATGGAGGGGGGGAACTCTTGCTGGAGCCGCAGCTTCAGCTTTTAAATCACAAAACTACACAGCGCCTGGCTCCTGTTCATATTGAAGAGTTAAGCTGATTGTGGATGGTGCCAAGTCAGCAAGTGACCATACTGCCAGGAAAGACTGTGTCTAAGGAGGTATGTCAACGCATAAAGAAACATTTTAAACAGAACACCTTCCCTGTTGTAAGGTCTTTAGAACTGGCCTGCTATTAGTCTGGCTCTTTGTTCACAGAAGACCTTTCACCCCTTCACACAAGGGAGGTCAATAAGTAGTACTTTATATGAAACATATCCATATACTGTAATTTGGTAATGATGATGTTCCCTGTTGATTTGTGTGAAGTGTGCTTCTTAGAGAGAAATTCCCCTTCTAAACATACATCACTGGCTAGATACTTTTCAAAGAATCTTTCAGTGCAGCATTGAAGGTCCACTTTAAAGATATGAAGTACTCATTTTTCCAATGTTCCAGTTCAGACTAACATGGGGTGCAGAGTAGTCAGCTTGCAGATTTGTTCTGTAATGTTACACAAGTTCATTTAATTATCAGCATTATCAGCAATTCCGGAATATTTCTCAGCAAGTTCCTTGTGCCGATGGCAAACATCAATACTGCAATGAAAGTTTCTTTGAAAAGTAGATAGCCAAGGATGCATGTTTCATAATATACACAACTTTCTGAAAAACAAATCTCTTATTACTGCAATTATTTAAAATAACTGCAAACTCACAAATAGATATGAGTACAGAAAATATCATCAAATACTCTTTATCTTTAACCACTTGACCACCAGAAGGTTTTACTCCCTTCATGACCAGGCCATGTTTTGCTAGTTAGCACTGCGCTCTGCAACACTGTACTCTAATTACATTTATATCATTGTTTTCAGACAAATAGAGCTTTCATTTGGTGGTATGTAATTACTAACGAGTTTTTAATTTTCTTTATTATATAAACCAAAAAAGACTGAAAATATTGACGTAAGAAACAATATTTTTTTACTTTCTGCTATAAAAACATATCAAATGAAAAATAAAACAAAATAACATTTCTTCGTAAATTTAGACCAAATTTTATTCTGCTACATGTCTTGGGCAGCACAGTGGCTATGTGCAGCACAGTGGCTAAATGGTTAGCACATCTGCCGGGCAGTACTAGGGTTGTTGGTTCAAATCCCAACCATGGCATCACCTGCCTGGAGTTTGCATGTTCTCCCTGTGCCTGGGTGGGTTTCCTCCCACACTCCAAAAGACATGCTGGTAGGTCTATTGGCTCCTGTCTAAATTCTTCCTAGTATGTGTATGTATGAATGGGAGTTAGGGACCTTAGATTGTACGCCCCTTGAGGGTTAGGGACTGATGTGAATGTATAATATATATGTGTAAAGTGCTGTGTAAATGGACAGTGCTATATAAGTACCTGAAATAAATAATGTCTTTGGTAAAAAAAAAAAAATCCCAATAACTGTATATTGTTTGGTTT